GAATGGGATTACTATGGGATGTCAATTGAGAGTAAGTTGAAATCAACTGAACATAAATTCAAACTAAATTGAAATCAATCGAGAATCAATTGAAACTAAGTTGAAACCAATTGAAAATCAATTGAACGCAAATTGAAATCAATTGAAAATAAACTCAAAGTACAATAATCAATTGAAAATCAATTGAGCGTAAATTGAAAATAAGTTCAAATCTATTGAACGTAAATTGAAATCAATGGAAAGTAAATTGAAATCAAATGAAAGTAAATTGAAATAAGTAAATTGAAACCAATTGAAAGTAAGTTGAAAATCAGTTGAAAGTAAATTGAAATCAACTGAAAGTGAATTGAAATCAATGGAAAGCAAATTGAGATCAATTGAAATCAGTTGAAAATCAATTGAAATCAAGTGAAATCAATTGGTCCTAAAAAAAATCACATTAAATGTAAAACCTGAAGTTGTTTAGGGGGGCCCTACACTAATCAGGAACCGACATTAGTTTTATATATATATATATACATCTGATGATCACTCTATCTATCTATCTATCTATCCATCTATCTATCTATCTAACTATCTATCTATATATATATATATACATTTAAATCTATATCTGATGGTCTGCAAGTTGTTTTCGTTCACACAAGATCCTTGTCACAAGTCATTTACTGTATCAGAAACAAATCCAAACAACATCTCCATCCAATAGCCCAGCACTCACAAATCAGAATCTCACCTCCCATGAAGTCGGGCACTGCAATGTGAAACACCTGCCGAGCATTGATCCATGTGGTTCGGACCCTGGGGTCCCAACAAGCCGGCTCTCGTGATTATTAGTTTCGAAAATTGTCGTGAAAATCATTTCTTGGGTTTCTTCTCAATTCTTCTGCCACATGGTTCTTTCATACACCAAAATCGAAAACCAGTGTAGTACCGTGCAATTGGCGGCAGAAGTTTCAAAGATAGAAATTCCTATGGGAGAGGTGAGTGAAAATTGCTGTGATGCATCGACGGCAGGGCGAATCCACTGATGGACCTGGAAGGTGGTTGGAATTGTGCTTTTCGGGAATGGTTGCAGTGGCCACATCACCCACAACTGCTGGATGTAGTGTGATGTAGTGTGGTGTAGTGGTGTAGTGTGGTGTAGTTGTAGGTGTGGCGCAGTTGCAGCTGCAGTTGCAGCTGCACTAGTAATAGTAGTAGTAGTAGTAGTAGTAGTCGTCGTCGTCGTCGTGGTGGTGGTGGTGGTGGTGGTGGTGGTAATAGTAGTAGTAGTAGCAGTAGTAGTAGTAGTACTAGTAGTGCTAGTAGAAGTGGTAGCGGTAGTAGAACTAGTAGAACTAGTAGAACTAGTAGAACTAGTAGTACTAGTAGTACTAGCAGCAGTAGTAGTAGCAGCAGTAGTAGTAGCATCAGTAGTAGTAGCAGTAGTAGTAGTAGTAGTAGTAGTACTGGTACTGGTACTGGTACTGGTACTGGTACCAGTTGTTGTTGTGGTTGTGGTTGTGGTTGTGGTTGTCGTGTGGTGAAGTGCGGTGAAGTGCCGTGAAGTGTAGTGAGTGAAGTGTATCAAAGTGTAGCGAGCGTAGTGGTAGTGGTAGTGGCAGTGGTAGTGGTAGTGGAAGTGGAGTGTGGTGTAGTGCAGCGTAGTGGAGTTGTACTTGTATAAATGTATGTATGTAAATAAGTATATATATATATGTATATTTATATATATATATGTAAATATGTATGTAGTTGTAGTTGTAGTTGTAGTTGTAGTTGTAGTTGTAATGTAGTGTGTTGTACGAGTAGCGCAGTGCAGTGCGTGTAGTGTAGCCGCTTCTGCCCATAAGTGGGGCCATGCCCAAAAACAACTGGGTTTTAGGTGATCTAGGTAAGGGGGCTTGCATCTAGACCCCATGCCCCAAGCCAAAAAAAATATTGGATAAGAACAAAAGTGAATACATATACATCCGCAATCACATCTTCACATCTATCTATTCGTGTATGCACATATGAAATTTTTAAAAAATGTATGTATATATATATATATCTGTGTGTGTGTAACGCAGCCGCATTGCATCACCCCAACTCCGCGTACCTCTAGGAAGGGCGGCAGGCTGGTCATCATCCCCGGGCCGGGCACCGGTGGCTGCCCCATCGGCCCGCGGCCGCCCAGCGCAGCCGCGGCTCCCGGCGTGACCGGTGGGGTGCTCCCTGGGGGAACCGTGACCGGAGGCCGTTGGACCATGTGCACCTCAAGGGGCGAATCAGGCTACGATTGGGGATATACCCCTAACAATGTGCTAAACCATAAAAAATATAATGGTATATAGCGTAAAATGGCGGTAGTAAGAAAACACTTAAAAATAGAATAATCAATAATGATAAAACCTACCATCTGAGGATGCTCTTCACAAGCTATTTAAGGTATTAATTGCACAATTGGGGCTGGCTTAAAATTTTAAAACGGGTTATCTTGATATGTTGCTGGTGAAGTACCTTGTCCTGGCCAATCGCATTTACTGGAGTGCACAATATTCCGGATTAAAACATCCCCACTCTGTGTAGTTAAACCACTAGGAATGGGATGACTTTGGATGACCTCAGTCATTGTTACTGGGATGTTTGGGGCATTGGGCCTACTTGCGCTTATTTGATCTTACTTGTAGATACCCCTCCAAAATGCCACGTTGTGCTGTTGGTTCCTGTCATACCGCAAAACACTCACGCCCCCCGCGCCCAGAACATACAAGTATGATATATATATATACACATATATGAATAGATAAAATCACAAAGAATATCAGAAAATATTGATGAATATTCGAACATATCAGAAGCATGCGAGAATATCCGCCGCTATCAGAAAAGATCAGAAGCGATCAAAGCATATGAGGACAATTCAAAAAAAACATCACACAACTTCAGAACATATCAGGAAGTATCGGAAGTGGCAAACCATGATAATTAGAAAATATCAGAACATATCAGAACTGAATTCAGAACAATATGAAAACATCTCAGAAAATGAAATTTCTTATTAATTACTTGGAGCCACCCCCAAGTCATTTGCTTTTGAGTCACGGTCTGTCCGTTCTCCGTGACATGTGCTCCAAGGAGGTCGTCGTCCTGTAAAGCAGGGGACAGGGAGCTTGAGACCTTGGACCATCCCTGTGTTGGGAAATTTGCTTTAAAAACGCCATTTTTTTTTAAAAAAAACGCAGTGATTTTGGGGATGGTTTATGACATTGGGGTTTAACACATTGATTACTTATATAAGATTATAGATGCACAGCATTGCATTTAGCATTGTTTTCTTTTTATTAACTGATTAAGAACAAATAGAAAAAGCGAATTACTTCATGACTTGATAGTTAAATAATGGTAAACAATAATATTTTAATTTTGAACCATACCCAAATGATCGCAAGTGATTTCAATGGCTGTTTCACCACGGGATTGTGAACATTTCACAAGAAAGTCTCCTCTGAGGTTGTTTGATATCGGAATATCGGAGAAAAAACCCATGAGTTATTGCTGTGGGTTTCAGGTAGATGCTCGTGCAGTGCAGGGTTCGCCATCCAACATAGGAATGGAAGTTTTAGGCAATTTTGGGCAATGACAAGCAAACGCGTACACACACAGATGTGTATAATTACAGCTACTATATTTATAGTTTCAGCACTATCTGGAATAGTTTCCGCATATTAAGAAATATAAGTATGTGCCTATCACCGATGGTGAGGGCATGCAGAGAAAGGAGACAAGCAAAAAGGACCCTGGAGAAAAAACATGTCTTCTGGTAATTCAACATACCTATATGGAAAATGGTCCAGTTATAAACGACTTACCTATGTATATATATATATATGTGTGTATATATATATACACACTTAAAACAATTGCGATTTTGCATACAGTAGCTGTAGCTATGTTAAGAGGGTAGCTGTGTCACATCAAGAAGGCCGTCCCCACACCCTGTGTGAGCATTCATTTCACTGACTTCAAGTAAAGCTCACAAATCGAAAATCACATCCCCCCGATTGTCAAACAAAGACATCCCCAAGCCTTCAACTCTACTAATGGTTTTGGTTTCCTGTGGTTTCCCTTCAACATCCTTCCACCTTTCCCACCGCAGGACCCAGCGCACCCAGCGTCCCGTTGTTTCTTCATCGCGCCTTGATGGCTCGGCCCCGGCAAATGAGACGCTGCTCCATGGAGATTCCCAGCTTCTGGGAGATCACTTCCTTCAGCTGCAGCCCTGTCCTAGGCAGCCAAGCAGGGATGGGCTGGGGGAAGGCTGGTTGTTTTCAATATATACATTAAATAAATAAAAATTAAAACAAAAATATCAGTACATCTACTGCTACTGCTACTGCTACTACTACTGCTACTACTACTGCTACTGCTACTGCTACTCCTACTACTCCTACTACTACTACTACTACTCCTACTACTACTACTCCTACTACTACTACTACTACTACTACTGCTATTACTGCTATTACTGCTATTACTGCTATTACTGCTATTACTGCTATACGACTTGACGACTATACGACTATACGACTACGACTACACGACGATTACGACTACGACTACGGTTGTGTCTATTCCTATATTCCCATACCCCTACTCCCACTCCTACTTCCACTCCTTCCTCCCCCCCAAGTACTGAACCAGTAGTGCCGGTAGCTGTGAAACGGTTTACACAGCACTGCAGTCGTCTATAGCTGTACTAACACAGGACGTACGCGGTACAAGCTTGATGGACCGGTACTCATTTGCTACGGGTACTTGTTTGCCGGGGCTTCTCAGAAGGGTTGCCCCAACAGCCAGCCCAGCACGTTCGCTCTGGGCAAAAGCTGCAAAGGTTGCATTTGCTATGCGGCCAGTAATGTTAAAGTAAGCACCTGCCACACAAGTTGCATCTGCTCTACGGCTCTGTCTTCGTCTCTTCTTCTTCTTCTTCTTCTCGTTCTCCCTCCGATAGCGTGCGCATCAACCTGCCTTGGGGCAACCTCTCTCCGCTGCCACCCTGCCCCCTTCCATTCAGCGGTCTGCTGTCAAGCCAAAAGCTCATACATAGTATCTGGCGCTACTTTACTGGGGGCGGTATTAATTTGGTATATGGTCAATCAGTTGTTACGGCAAGCATTTCCTACACAAGCTGCTTCGGTTTTGCGGCTCTGTCTTCTTCTCCTCTTCTTCTTCTCTTCTCTTTTGCTTCTCTCTCCGGCTTCCACCTAGGGTGCGCAGCACACTCCCTTGAGGCAACCTCTCTATGGCCGGCGGGCTTGCTGCATGCAATTAAATATATGTAGGTATGATTATGTATATAAATGTTTATGCAATTATGTATGCTTATGATGTTGTTAAAGTGCGATATAACCGAAGGAAGTTTAGAAGTCAAACTCCCGACAATATAGACAGATGAAAAGCAGAGGTGCAGGTGCGCGAAAGGGTAGAAAAGTCGCGGTTGACTGTCTTTTTCCAATGATTTGTGGTTCCAGAGGGTCGAAAAGTGGGCTCGCTCAAGCGGCGGGTGCGGAGCCATCTGGCCAGAGGAGAGATGAACAATTGCACGCCGCTCTGGTGCGAAGCACATGTCGAAGTAAAAACGTACAAAACACACCAACATCGGAGCACCTTTGGAAGATGAGATGTTAAAAAAGCGCACGCCGTTGTGGCGCGCAGCACATTTCGAGGTCAATGTACAAAACACTTCAGTGTCGAAGCACTTTTGGAAGTTGAGCTGTGGAAAAAGTGTGCGCTGCACGCCATTGTGGTACAAAACACATTTCGAAATCAACATGTCCAAAGCACACAAAGTTCGGACTACTTGTGGATGTTCAACCGCGCCACACTCTATACACTACAACAAAATACTACAACTACAACTGCAACTACCACAACTACAATTGCAACTGCAACTGCGACTTCCAATACACTACAACTACAACTGCAGCTTCAACTTCCACTACACTGCAAGTCCAACTACAACTACAACTACCACTACACTACAGTACACTGCAGTACACTACAATACACTACAGTACAATACAGTGCACTATAGTACACCACAACTACAGCTACAACTGCAGCTGCAACTACACTACAACTACAACTACATTTACAACTACGACTGCAAACAATGCAACCACCACTACAACTGCAACCACAACTTGAAGCACAGCTGCAACTACAAGTTCAACTACAAGACAATTACAGCTACAGCTACATTACAACTACAACTTCAACTACACTACAACTACAACTACCACCACAGCGACAACTACACTACACCACACCAGGCCACACTACATTCAGCAGTTGTTGGTGAGCTGACCACTGCAACCACTCCAAAAAGCACAACTCCAACCACCTTTCGGTTCATCAGTGGATTCGCTCTGCCATCCATGCATCACAACAACTCACCTCTTCTATAGTTGTCTATCTTTGAAACTTCCGCCAACCGCCTTGTGCGGTACTACTGCTAACTATACGGGCATTCACCATCATTCAGCCATATAATTCTCATCATGACAATACCTAATATATCATTATATATATAAAATATGTGTGTTTTTCAACATATGTTTACGCATCTATTCTTAGAAAAAAAACTCAGCGTCCCTTGGCATCCCAGGTGCATGTCTGGTTTCACTTCCACACGTTGAGAGCTACCATCGATGCTCAAGATCTTGATCTCAAAGGATGGCGGAGCAGCCGGAGCCCCTGACGTGCTGCTATCGCTGGAGGCGGCGTGTGACCTGGTAGGTGAGACTGAGGGGTGGCAACTAAGATGGCTGGAAAATTCACCAGAAAAATGGAGGTTTTCATGGGAACATAATAGGAAGCATACCTAGATATGGATATAAATGGAAGTTTTAATGAGAAGCACACCTAATAATAAACATTTATAAACTATAAACAAAGGTTTTAGTGGGAAATCCGCGAAGGACATGGGCACTTGCATGGGAAGTGCCCATCGAACTATCGCTGGTGCACTTTCCCGCAAGCCATGTTGGATTCCCAGAGGGCGATTTTGTGGAGGAGTTGGGATTAACACGATGGGTTTTATGGTTTAGCTAGGGTTTTAACATGTTATAACATGTTATAATCATTGCAAGGTTGGGAGATAATCCCCGCCAAGTTATCCTCTATGGCTACAGCTACATAGCCAGAACTGGAACTTCACCACCAAGTAGAACCTTGAACCCTCGAACGCATTGAAGGTTCAACGGAATGATCCCAACGAATAACTGGTTGGTTGTTGGTTTGAAACCGCTCCAAGGATATTGAGTTCATGTCGGATCATCATCATCACTTAAATGGGGCTTGGGGTTGAAGATAAAAAGCTAATCAAAACAAACAGCTGAGTGTATCTGAGATTGTTCCTACCTTGGCCTCTTGCTTCCAAGAAGGTATCACCAACCACAGTGCAAAAACTTGGATTTGCTTAAGAGGCTTCCCTATAGATGCCCCAACTGGTGGATTTCCAAGTACCATTGGGAACACAATCACCTTCAACAAACCCAGGTTTGAATAAGGAGCCCCATGAGATGGCCCAGCTCCCAGTTTCTACCCGGACGCTGCCCCGTTTTCATGGCAAATCTTCAGCCAAAAAATCCGTGTTAGCTGGGTACACTATCAGCATAGTTTGCTCAATATGCCCATGGCAACACGGTGACAACACCAGCAAGGTGTAGCCCACCTCATGGCTAGGCGAGGCTCATGGGTCACACGGAAGTTATTCCTGCTTCTACCTTTCTTTTGCAAAGCTGAGTCACATGGCCTCTGGAAGGTTTGGACAATATGTTTTCATGGTTCTTTCTTTCTTTTGCTTTTCTGCTCTGTGCAGTTGTGAATTTGGCATGTGGAACTTAAAGCTACTTACAAGTCTCACCAGCTCGCTTACACGTCTCACGAGTCCAGTAGGAGCTGAGCAAATTGCGTCTACAATTGGATGGGGTCAGGGATTTAGGCCCCCAACTGAACCCCCCAAACCCGCAAGTGCTGGGCATTTCATTCTGGGTCAATGTGTTTGACCATGTTTGAACCTCACTTGTTCGACGTGCTCGGCATGAATCACCTGCGAGCCGCAGAAATAGGGCACAACCCACTGGCATATGTACATCATGCCAAATGTGTCTGCTCATCATTTCACTTGTGGAGGGATGGTTCCCAAATAGGCATGGATTCATACAGTGCACGCATATATTACGAGTGTGAGTGGCGGACAAAAATTACTTACTTCTCGCAATGGACATGGCCAAAGTGGGTTCTCCCCTATCGGTTGTGAAGGTTTGTACTTCCATGCTGTGTGTAAAAAATAGGGTATCGGCAAGCGGGTGGTCCCCTATCGGTTGTGAAGGTTTTCACACAAATTTGAACATCCCAAGTCCACTCCCTACTACTTTAGTTTTCCGCTAATTTTGTCGGTTACTCATATGTATATATAATATATATATATATGTGTGTGTGTGTACGTGTGTAAGTGATAAAGGTATAAAAGTATAAACCATGTAGAACGGAATTATATGGTTCTACGCATTGCTATCCAGAAAGCTAGAAATTTCTGATCCCAAGAAAAACCTGACACATCCTGACACAAAGACCCATGATCAATGATCTTGGGATAGGTAGAGGCCAGAGGCTAAGAGGTGCAGTTCTTTCAACCTGATCCATGCCGCCGACCTGACTGTGAGGCAACCATGGCTAGTTGGGCTAAAATTATCTCAAATTAGGCACACTTCAAACTATGGATGGAACATTGGGATCACAGTGAAACTACCCTAGGCCTCAAGCAGTTGGGTATCCCGGCTTGACACTTTCCACCATGCGATGTTCTTTCATCATCGCCTCTGGCAAAATGGGGATAGTCTGAAATCAGGAATTTATCCATATGGCTGTCAAAAAATGACATTCCATTGGAATTGTGGAGTGCAGCATTTTCAGGGAAACCTTAGTTTTGGACGGCCTTTCAATTCAACATTTGTAGTGTAGCGCCTTGAATACCATGACCAGTGACGCTATGGGGAGCTCACTCCCAACCACCCAAGACCCAAGACGTTAACTATGCCCAAACAAAATACATGTTCCATCATTTTTCCAACAGAAGCGAGCGCTTTGACCGCCATGACATGCATTGCGTCCATGGATCCTGCGTCAACGCTTAGGGATCCAACTATTTCACTAGGTCCAAATCCCCAACCTGGAGCCTTCATTTGATGGTTATAAATTGTGGTTTCCTGAAATAGGGGTACCCCCAAATCATCCATGTTAAAAGGATTTTCCATGGTACCCCATGGTACCCCCATGACTTTGGAAACCCCCAAATGAGTACAGTCACCATCCAGGATTCCACACATGCTGCGACAGGCGCACATCGTAGCGGGTCACATCGCCCTCACCGTAGGTGTCGGGGACCTGTCGAGGCAGGGCCCATTTACCAAGTAGCAGGACTGACCAAACATACCACTCCCGCAACTCACAATTTAATCTGACTAGGTTGGTTTAAGGGCCTTAAGGGAACTTTTTTGATGGGGAAAACCATGGTTTTCCAACCCCCCGAAGTCATCGCGGAGTGTGGCCCCGCCTGCCAGAAGATGGTCATCCCATCCCTCACATTGCCAGAGAGGAACTGTGGCTTCCTGCAGGGCTCGCAAGGGCCCTTCTGGCAAGAGTTCGAGCTGTAAACTTGGAAATGTTTGTCAAGATATATGATAATATTGTATATGATATAATATATATATTGTATGTGTGATATATACATATATATATATGTGTGTGTGTCAATAGGTTAGTAAAGCTATGAACATATGTAGATTTTTTTGATGGATTTTGTAAGTATATCCGCACGTTGAAAGTTGGAGAATGGTGTTGACATCTGTAGGTATTTCCTGTGATAACCACTATAACTATAAATGTATGAGGAAATTGCCACAATTGGCGACTGGGCGAAGCGACTCTGCATTCACCTTCAAGACTGCTGATGCTGCTCCACACATATGTCATGTGGGAAGCAGTTTTATATAGGTGGTAGGTAATTCTCTGCCAAACACCCCAGAAAACTCAGTTTTGTGGGGATTCTGTTCATTTTGCAAGCACTTTGGGTAGATCTATTTGGTTTGTTCCTAGGGGGATGGGCTTGCAACCAGCAGGTGATGCAACTGAGGGTCCCTGCGGGCACTTTGCGGGTGCACATGAACCCATCTTCATTGGTAGGCTGGAAGTACTCCATTCCTGTGACATCAACAATGCGGGAAGTAAAGGGAACAAGCTCTCCAGAAGCAGTACAGTTTCATAGCTATGCCATACCATCCATGCTTGGCATATTTATCTACTTTTTTTTGGGTAGGCATAGGAAGCCATGTCAATGTATGGATGGCATGGGCAATGCCATGTACCACAAGGATAGGCCCGAAAAAGGTGGCTTCATGACAGCCAAGGGAGTTCATCTGCCTCAATGGCTCATCTGGTCCAGGGATGATCCAAAGGTCCACAAGGGGCTAGCCTCGCACATGCCTGTTGTAAAGTGTTCTACAGTAAGCAGTAAACACATGCAGCCGGAAACTTCGACGATGTGGGCCAAGTGATTCCTACTGGGATAGTTTCCCTCAAGTTGGAACATGGTCAGCATGTGGGTTCCAGGTTGAAAACAGTCTCGTCCAGGAGATTTTGGGATCTATCATGATCTATATTCATGTTACTGTCTAGTTATATACATCCCGCCATTCCTGACCGTAGGGGTCATCATCGATCCATGTAGGATTTGTGGTCGGGTACTGGGGTCCTTTGGCATATGTCAATGATCAATTGGAGAAGTGGTGCTTTGGGGTTCTGAGGTAATTTCGTGATGATTTCCTTCAAGGGGTCCCTGAGATTTCAATCCACCAGCAGCACCTGCCTGTTGAGTCAGCTGGGCACCCAGACCGAAGTGCCGATTTGATTGCAAGCTTGCACCTGAAGACGGATAAGACAGTTTGTGGGTTCAATAAGGCAAGCCTCCAGGCCTCCAGGGACTAAAACAGTGAAAGGTTTCGCCTTCTCAGATCAAACCCTTCGAATCTCCAAAAGATTGGGATCCAATGGGACGGTCAAGGGATCGCCCTGAGATGTGACCGTCAACAGTAATCAACCATCATCAACCATGGATGGCATTGTGGCACAACGCCGCACCTGGAAATAGTACGTGGTTGATGGCCTCAAACCCTTCACCTTCATCTGAGTCAATGCCTCAGGTGTCACTTCAAGGTGGGCATGGTTTCTGTGTGCGCGTGTGTATTCATTGATGTTGAAAATCTATCAATAATTGTCTATGATGTATACAGTGAACGTTAAAAAAAAGTATACGCAAGGTCTCCCTTTGGTCTGGTTCGGATGGGATTCCCTGCCAGTTTCCCACCACGGGCGAAGCGCTTGTGGCCAGAAGTTGGAGATAGCTGTGGACCTGAAACGACTGTGGTTGTCAATTGGCGAGTGTCTTACACCGTTTAAAGAAATGGCAAACATACACGAAACACACATGCATTTCATACAAATATTGAAATATTGAATAATATGCTATGAATCATGATCAATAAATAGCACATGAATAAATAATCAGTATATATATAATATAGTTAATATACTTAATATACAATATATACAATATATACAATATATATATGTATTTACAATATATATATATATACACAACATAATCGATATATAGGTTGACAAACGTAATCAAATGAATATCCGGATATATCTCAATATAGCGAGACACAGTTCAATACATATGTGTACGTATGTAATTGCACAAGCAAACATGCATCTTGTATGTATGTATGTATGTATGTATGTGTGTATGTATGTATGTATGTATGTATGTATGTATGTGCATGAATGTATGTAGGTATGTAGGTAGGTAGGTAGGTAGGTAATTATGTATATAGGTATGTAGGTATGTAGGTATGTAGGTATGTAGGTATGTAGGTATGTACGTATTTATTTAGGTATGTAGGTATGTAGGTATGTAGGTATGTAGGTATGTATGTATGTAGGTATGTATGTATGTATGTAGGTATGTAGGTATGTAGGTATGTATGTATGCATGCATGCATGTATGTATGTATGTATGAATGAATAATAGTGAACTACCACATAGATAGTTTCCCGTTTAAAAGCACTTGGTGGGCAATTTTCAGGTCAATTTGGGAGCAATGCATCTATCTTCACCTGCGAGGCACTGGCTTTCCAGGGTCTGTCAAATGCCCATGGATCATGGAGGCCTCCAAACATCAAATCGAATATATATTTGTTATTAGTTGTTCATAGTTGTTCTATAGGATTGTTGAAGTCAATTCATATTTGCTCGATAAATGTGTACTGCATCCAACTGTCTGCCTCTTTTTAGATACCCTGCTTTGTTGAACACTGCTTCGCAATCTAGTATGTATTCCCACGCGTAACCAAAAACACACACACACACGATAGAACAACATTATACACATTAGTATGTATATATATATATATGTGTGTGTATTCCCGTTTGTTAACATGCATTGCCATTTGTAGCATCAAAAAAGACGAATAACATATTACACACAGTACGTAGTACCCTTCAGTAATTTAACAGTTTGCCATGGAAAATGGCCTAAGTATAGATGATTTACCTAAAGAACAATAGACTGGTTTAAGGAAAAATCCACACTTGAGGCTAGACTTTTTCCCATGAAAGATCGGTGTTTCCTGTAACCTTTCCCCTTGAACCATCCTACTTACCTATGAAACAAGGTGATACGATAAAGTACTAAACTATCGGCTTTACCTCGCGCCTTCACGCTCATCATATTCCATCAATTCGCCCAATTGAAGGCCTCAACTTGCACTGGGAAAAACGGGAGAGAGCTCCGTTTCAACCCTGCAAAAAAAACATAGATAAAACCACGGAAATCCCACACTTTCCTGCTGAAAGCATGAAAAATCCACATCTTCAAAAGAAGCATTGCTTGTATTTGGATGTAAATAAGTGCGGATTATGTGAGTAGGTTTTAATTGCCGGAGGATATTGTAAACTGAATATCTTTTTCGAGGGCGTCGGAGTCAACTTGGCTTTTTGGTGGTTACGTGTTATATAATGTTGCCGGAATAGGCTAGACTCAGACTTCATGAAAAAGTAAGGGAACACTTGGTCGGGTAGCTGGTGGGCACATTTTTCAGCGACATGATTTTTGCATCATGTCATGCCATATACCTGTTTTTTTGGTCTTGAAGCGGAAACTACCTACATATGGATGGGAAACTCTTAGAAGCTCCGAATATGGATATGTACCCCAAACTCCTCAGCTCCCTCCTAATCACTGGAGTCTGTTGATACTCTGGGAGGGTCAAATGCTTATGATTTACAGCAAGGTTCTGGATGAGTGCTGGCTGTGGATGCCACTGCACCAGCCTAAACTGCTAATGCCAGTCTAGGCCTAACGACACCCTAAAGACACAAAGTGGTTACCGGTATGTTACTGGTTGCAAGATTCCACCCTGTTAGAACCGCACAAAAAAAGGGTCAAAACTACATATCAAAACTATGAAGCCAGGCCGAACCCAAACATCTTGGTAATAATTGTTGCAAGGAAACCGTCCAAGTTCGGTCCAGCATGAAAGAAGGTGCTGGTCACCGTCCGAAGCTTGGAAACCCGAACCTTGAAAACACAATTCTTAATGTACCCAGCATAATTATGATTATGTTGAAGTGTCTTACCATGATCACTAATCATCATTGTATATTACTGAACAAATATGACATATCTACATTTACAATGCATATATTTATATATGCCGCAAACATTTCGTGTACATATATATATATATATATGCATATGTACACAGATATATGCAGGTGGGTGTGTGTAAGTATGTATGTTTGTCTGTTTGTTTGTTTGTTTGTATGTATTTCTGTCTGTCCGTCTGTCTGTCTGTCTGTAGGTACTGACGTACCTACGTGTGTACAATGTGGGTATGTAATGTAATGTAATGTAATGTAATGTAATGCAATGTAAGCTAATGTAATGGTATGGTACAGTATGGTATGTATGTATGTATGCATGTATGTATGTAATGCATGTATATATTTGCAAATATACATATGCATTAATATATACACATAATTATGCATATATAATCATTTATATATATATGTGCAATAGACTACATGCGCACAATTTACTGGGGGAGAAACAAATGATACTCCGTGAGTGATACTGTAGACATGCCATCACTCCTCACCGAGCAGCCAGGTTCATGCACTGGGCGGTCACCAATCGTCACCTGTGCCCCCAATTTCGGTATGAAAATGGTGATTTCACTATCAGGAGAGGCTAGAAACAAAGGGCATTGAATGACGGAATGACGAAAAATAGGAATGTATGATCGCTAAGTTGGTTGATTTCAGTAGCTTAACTTTGAGTTTTTGGATATATTATGATATATTACATGAATTTACATTATATAATTATATATATATATCGAAGTAGTTCGGGCGGATCCCACAGGACCTCGACAGGATCCTGCATATCTTCGGTCAGAGAGCTACGCACCTCAGCGCTACAAAGGCCAGGAGGGGTTTCGTGTATTGGTGCCGACATTTGACACACATGTTTTTATGTTCCTATGGGGTATTATGTCCTATGTTTAACTATGGGATATTATGGAATATCTATGATGTGACGTTTTGTTTTGGGATATTAGTTTCTATTATCTATAGCTATGGTTGGGATGTGATATGATATATCTGTTTTTTGATTTTTCTAATGCTATTTTTTCACATGGGATAGATTCATACATGTACAATACTTTTACCATTTGCACGGTGTTTCCTCACATACTCACCCAAGTGACGACCATCGCAACGCGACATGGTCTTTCATAACATTGAGTTAAGAAGACTTTAAGGAAACATCCACTAGGTTGCTGGTAATTAACCATCTCCATTGGTAATTAATGACAACTTACTGAAACATTTCCCAACTAATAAACGGTTATAACTAATTATAGTTGTTGCTGGTCAAAAAACTGCCTGGTGGGATCTTGCTGGGACTTCTCATCCTGCCTTGTAATGCACCACAGGGATGTTGTAGCTCTCAGGATGCGTCCACCGAATGACCACCTGGTGTCGATTGATAAAACGGAAGGGGCTGGATTGCAACGGTGAACAATGTGGCTTTCAGCCAAAAAAATGAGATCTGACTTCAACCCGGGGTGAGAAACCAGGGGAATTGGAGGATATCGCCCACCATTCATGGTAACTAAGTATCTAGCCCCAATGAAAATCAAAGAACTTTGAACTTTGAGAAAAACTCAGGATTTCCCATTCATGGCAACAGGTGGATTTAAGGGAAAATTGACAGCGAAAGCCATGGCCTTTTTGCCTCAAACGCGCCAAGTCTTTTTGACGCGCGCCTCGTGAGGTCTGGTCAGAGTATCCACCCGCACCTGAGCTTGAAAAATCCAAAGGGCCCATCTTTTTTTTGCCACCAATTATAGGGCTAAAAACACGTAAAGACCATGGGTTTCCTCGAAAGTTTCTCTTAAACTGGTTGAAACAAATGATCGAACATGATCTTGTTTGATCCACTAAATGGGGATTTATATAATGAACAAATTTGAGAAAGTTAGGCACCACTAAATATCGATGAAATCATGATGGATACTGTATTCCAAATCATCCGAACCCAGCCGATTAAATTGTCCATGTTCAATACCAAAGCTAGGGTTTAGTTGTATCTAAGATAATTCTTTAGTTCACATTAATTTAAAATTTAAAGTAATTACAGTAGTCCCCGAAGATATGAGATGCATCTTTCAGTCATGAACACTTTAGGCTTCATTCTAGTCTCTAGTAATTTGACATAGCGGAAAATCACCATGTTTAGTAGGTAAAACATACCATCTCAAACATCTAAACATTGGCCATTGTCCATAGCAACCAGTTCAAATTACCAGAGGGTCCGAAAGATCCCCAGGGCCCTCGGACAGGTGGATCCGGCCTAGCCCAGCATGGAATGATCACGAAGAAGCAATGAAGAAGCAACGTTGCACTATAACCAGTTCGATTCTACTGGTTATACATCTATATACACATAATAACCTTTGAAAACCAGTTCTATAGTGGCCATGTTACAATGCTGGTGGTCGTAATAAGCGGCTACTATCTTCTTATGACGTGGATATTGAGCACGATTCGTTCGAAACTTTGTTTTTGGCCGTTCAAAGCCGGATGTCTCAAACACTACTGGTGGACAAAAAAGCAAAAAATGCACAGTCAGCTGGCAACTGGGACCATGATCCCTGCAAAGCCATCCAAACCAACAAAACTAGTGAGCATGCAGCATGCATTAACGAAGCAAAAACAACAACACATCTTGATTGTGCCTGTGCAACGAAAAGTCCGAAACGTATCTCTGTCGAAGCAGAAACATGCTAAAGGTTCCTTTTGGGGGGGTTGGGGATTGGCGAAATAAATGGCACAGCTACTGTACTAGTATGGGGTCTGATGCACCCGCTTTACTTCGCAAAGTCAAACTCAAGATAGCCCCCCAGGAGCTACCTTTTGTAATAAGTTGCAAGTACAGTCACTCCTACAAGGTCCACAAGGTATCCCAGGATCACCCCTGTGGTTTTGGGGATGTCAATCCCGAAAGGTGTTTGCCGCTGCAAGTCGTGTACTCGCACCACTTGTTTTCGCACTTGCCACCATGTCATACCGTGTCTAGAAATCAAATCAGCAACCTCCTGACCAACGTAAGTTGGACGCAGTCGAAGCCACGCTATGGCAGATTTTCTGGGTGATCTCTGATCCACGAATTGAACCTATGGGTTAGTCCGGAAGACCTTTCCCAGCAAGTGTGAAGAGAAACTCTTGAAAGCAACACCTTGCTGTGGGTGACTAACCCGGAAGTTGAATAGCGGTGATCAGTGGTGATCCGTAGGGCCCAGATGGACCCAGGTCTCAAGCAATGCTAAGACCCAGCAACTGCTGGGCAAGAAGGCCTCCGACGCCTAGGAAGTATCCGCAGAGAGCTGCTGGGGCCACGCTTTTCAAATACCTGGGCTCTTGGCGAATCTCTTTGGATGGTTTGGATGTTTGATATTCATTCATTTGTTTTCAGATTTTCATAGATTTTCAGTACACCTTCTGAGTTTCGCGCCTGGAAGTCTAAAATATGTTGGACCAAGGAGCCTCTCCACTGACGCTACCGCATCCACATATTTATTCAACAAAAATAGGAAACTCCCATGACTCTGACCTGCAGTTTCTCGTCGATTTTTCCAATAAACTCCAAACCATCCAAATATGGCTTGAAACTTAGTCACCCCTATATAATATACGTACATATGTATATATCTATATATATAACTACAGTATGTATCTCTCATAAAAAATATATATATATATATTTACAGTATTATCAAAGGAAGTTTAGGGGGAGAAACTTCCGTGTTACGGACTTTTAGAATGTCAGGGAAAGAG